GCACTGCCATCCCCCAGTGGGTCCCCCACCTGCCCTGTTGGGATGCTGGCATGTGGCACAGCATAAGCCCTATGCCATCACCCCAAAATCCAGAGGGGGGAGCAGTGATCCCTGATGCCCTCCATATGCTCCATCTCTCTCCTTTCCATTGCCTTCTGTGTCTCCCCATATCCCTCATCCGGCCTCTTTCCAGCCCTCAGCCCGAGCACCATCGACCCCGTGCCCACGCGCCGTGGCAGTGATGTGGTGGTCATCGCCTCCCTCCTGGCCAGCCTGGGGACAGTGCTGGCCACTGCTGTGCTCGGAGCCCTGGGGTATGGGGGCTGCTTGGGGGGATGTGTCTGCAGGGGCCCCAGGAGAACCCCCCCGAACTCACCCCCATCAGCAAAGAAATGGATGGTTTTAAGATTTAAAAAACCTTTTTATTCTTAAATTGGAGGTTTGCCACAGTTTGCAGGAGAAAGTGCCCCTTGGGGATGGTCAGCACGGGGGGGGGGCTGGCAGGGCCCATGGACTCTGCTTGATGCCTCTGCATTTCTCTCTCTGCAGTGCCAAGGTGTGGGGCTCCCTGTGCCAGCGGGATTTGGGGACCAGCGCCTTCGCCTGCAGATCCTACCGGACCCATCACATCCCCCCGGCCCTGCCACAGCCCCCACCCCCAGGCTGTGGGTGTAGCCCCCCAGGGCTGGGCTGTTTTGCCCTCCGACCCCCTGCTCCTTGCCATAGAAACATGGAACAGTTCGTGTTGGAAGGGACCTTAAAGACCATCTCATTTCAACCCCGCTGCCACGAGCAGGGACACCTTCCACTTGAAATAAAGTGTCCTGCCAAGTAAAGTCTGACTTTACGTCTGTGACTGCCTCCTCCTGGTCCTTGGTCATGCAGGGTGGGAGCTGTGAGAGTGAGGGCACCGAATTCCCTCCAGAGCAACCCAGGGTCTCAGTTTGATGGCACTCGGTGTCAGGGTGGGGGGCACAGGCTGGCACCCATGGGGTCTGTGGGGCACATTCCCCCGGGGTGTCCCTCTCTGCCCCACTGCCCGGGTGAGGGCTGTCGCCCACCCGTGCCACGAACGCGGTGGTTCCCAACACGCTTCGCCGGCGGGCGCTCAAACATAACAAATGCTCCCAGGGAAACGAGCCCAACCTGTTTGCCGCGGGGCTGCGGCCCGTGCAGGAATGTGGGCGGTTGGTGTGACCACAGGCGGGTCCCACGGGGACGCGGAGCTCAACTACCCGCACTCCCGCCCTCGGCACCCAGGCGTCTGCACAATGCTCCCGCTGCTCCCGCTGCTCCTCCTGCTCCTGCCCGCAGCCCACGGTGCAGGTGAGTCCGACGGCGCCATCGGGATGGGCTGGGGATCCCCCCCGGCATTGCAGGGATCCTCTGTGAACCACAAGACCCCAGAGCCTGGAGGTGTAGAGCAGCTGATGCTCTCCTTCTTCTGGGTCCTGTTCTGGGTGCCACCTCTAGTGTCCCTGGTGTCACTGACCTGAGCTGGCTGACACAGTGTGGGGTCCTTTGGGGGTCTCCCTTTGCATTGCAGGAGTCCACTGTGCACAGGCACCAGGACCCCCCTGAGCCTGGAGGGGTAGGGCAGCTGATGCTCCCCCTATTCTGGGTGCCACCCTCAGTGTCCCTGGTGTCAACGACCTGGGTCCTCTGGGGGTCCCACAAGGGTGTCTCCCCCCACGCCGAGTGGGAGCATGGGGTATCTTTGATTCTTCTTTTCACAAAACACGCGTCTGAGCCCAAAACAGGGGGTGGGAAGCAAGCAGGGGCCCCTCTGCTGAGATCACAGGGTTCAGCACCCTCCCGTCCCCACCCCGAACCTCTGGGACCACGGCAGCCGGTCGGAGCCACTGGTCAGGGGCTGCAGCGGGAGCTCTGCACCCTCCGCCGCACCCCCTTGGCTTCTCCCCGCAGTGGAGCGTGTGGGGTACACGCCGTCCCTGACCAAGAGCCCCGCGCTGGAGGGGCTGACGACCGGCTCCACCTTCGTGCTGGACCAGCCCCGCTGCGTCTTCGACCAGTACAGAAACGCCGACATCTGGCTGGTGGTGGCTCTGGAAAGCAGTAGGTGGGGGCAGCCCAGGGCAGGGCCCTGTGCCCCCCGGCTCCCTCCTCACCCTCCATCCCCATCCCTGCAGCCGCAGCCACCTTCAACAACAACGTTGCGCCGGGGACTAACGAGAGCGCGTTCCAGAACTTCCCTGACAGCGTCCCCGCCTACATGACCCTCAATGCCACCCTCGCCAACTACCCCTGTCCCAAACCCGACGGGGATATCACGGTGCTGCGCGTTGGCAGCGAGACCAGCTGCATCCGGGATGGTGCGAGACCCACCTGCAATGGCCCCCTGCCCGGCCCCGGGCCCTACCTGTGAGTTTGCTCCTGGGGATGTGCCCCCCTCAGGGGCTCCCAGCAGCCCCCCCAGCTCACGGGACCGTGGCCAACCTCCCTTCCCATCTCAGGGTGAAGTTCCTTGCCCTGGAGGGCTCCCAGCCCGTGGCCGAGACAGGCTGGTCAGAGCCCATCATGCTGAGGACAGGTATTGCTGCTGGGCGGCTCGCCCCGCAGCTGTCGAGTGGGGGATATGGGGTGGTCCCGGGGGGTGTGGGGTGGTCCCAGGGAGCTGAATCCTGAGCAGTGGTTTGGGGCGAGGGCCCCTGTGAGATGGGGAAACTGAGGCAGGGCAGTGGTGCGGGTCTCACTCGGGTACGGTGGCACTGTGTGATGGCACATTGTGTTGGCACGCAGACACACCAACACCCATGTGCCCCCACCCCGAGCCGCCCAGGGCTGTGCATCCCTGCATCCTTCTCCCTCCCCTCCTGCTCTCTCCCCAGCCGAGTCACCCAACAGCATCTCCACGATGGACGGAGGGCACAGCGCCGGCATGATCGCCCTCACCACCATCCTCTCCATCCTCTTCGCCATCCTCCTGGCCGGGCTGGTGGCCATGCTCGTCTTCTGGGGGTGAGTGCCACCACCACGTCCTACCCAGGAACCCAGAGATAGGTGCTGGGCACGCGGAATCGGCGCCAGAGGGTGATGCTGTCATCCTGTGGTCCCCACCCTCATCCCTCACCCCCCCCCCCCCCCCCCCCCCCGCTCAGACGCCTGCGGCGGCAGCAGCACCTTCAGCAAGCCGGAGGCGGTGTCGGTGCGGCGGTACAACACCCACCACGTCTACGACCAGCCGGCCGCCCGGCTCTGAGCCCCCGCCGCCTCCCCGCCTCCCCCCGGCACCGCCCCCCCTCCCCACGCACCCCCGGATGCCCCCACGGCATGAACCCACTGCCACGCGGGCACGGCCAGAGCTGCCCCCCGGGGCTGGGGCATTGGAGAGGGACATTAAAGGCTTTTCCGCGTGCTTTGTGCCCGGCCTCTACCTCCTGTTTGTGACCCCCTCGGGAATGGCACCTGCCAAAACCTCAGCGCCTCACGCAGCCCCCTGGAAAGCCCCGTGGCCCTGTTTCTGTACCCCCACGCAGGGCTCTGAGCCTCGTCCCTGGGTGGGGGGAATGATGTGGCCCGCAATGCTCTGGAGTGGGAGATGTGTTGTCACACCCTGTTGGGGCACTGGTGCCACCTGTGCCCACTCTGAATGGGTGAAAGTCCCCTGGGGCACAGGGCAGCGAGGGGAGGCCCCCCCAGCCCTGACACTGGGGTGAGGGGCACTGGAATGTCCTGCGGGGGGGGTATAGGGGGCGTTTCTCTCTTCCCCTTAACCCCACAGCAATTTCTCACTGACCCAAACCCAGAGGAGAATCGTCCCCACCCAGAGCTGCCCCAATCCTTCCCGGGTGCTCTTGATATTCCCCTGAGAGCCATGAGACTGGTACGCTGGGATGCCTGATCCTGCTCCAGGTGTTGTGGGGACTGATCCTGCACTGGGGAGTGAATCCCTGATCTCTCTCTAGGGGATGTGGGGGCTGATCCTGCACTGATCAGCTAGGGGAAGCTGATGCTCTACCAGAGACTGGGAGAGACCTGATCCGTCATTCCTGATCCTGCACCAGGATGTGGGCCCCTGATACTGATGTCGGGGATGTGGGTGCCCTGACCCTGGAGCCTGGTCTGGATGAGACCCCGCTGGTGCTGGGGACGAGAAGGACAGAGCTCACCGCAGGGTGGCTGTGCCCGTTTGCGTGGAGCCAGGGCAGGTGTGCACACACCTGCATACATCACATCCATTTGTTAAACCCACCGTTTTTCCCCGTAGGCGCCGTGCCAAGGGCAGCATCACATTCACACCCAGCCCCGGTCACAGCGCCCTTACAGGCTGTCCTTGTCCTGCCTGGGAGGGGTGTTAGCAACCTGCCCCCCCCCGCTGCCGGAGCCGCCCCCGTGGAGCCCAGCCAAGGGAAATCAAGCAAATCCAGCGATTAACTCCTGCGGAGAACCAGCGTGGGTGCAGCCGAAGGACGGTTCCATCCGGCAAACGCGAGTCCCCTCCGACCCACACCCCGTCCCCCGAAATAAAACAACTGTTTCAGCTGCAAAGCGGCTTCGAGTGGTTTGGGAGGGAGGGGGGGTGTTACCTGTCACACGGGCGCTGTGGGGGTGGGACACCTGGCCCCGACCGCGTGCGGGGCTGGAGCTGCCACTCGGGTTGGTGGCAGGGGACCGCACCTTGTCCCCCTGCTGTCCCCTTGTGCGGGGGAGGGAGAGGGGCAGCGCTGTAGGAACAGGGCAGCGTGTTCCCGGCGTGTTCCCAGAGTGTCCCCGTAGTGTCCGCACGGCGCAAATGCCAAGGACCAGCTTGGCTGGCACAGCCCTGAGCCCCAGCTTTGGGTGCGGGGCGACTCCTCGAGCCCAGGTGGGTCTTGCGGGGGGAGAGGGGGGGAGTTCCCCCTCCCTCCGCCGGTATTTAGGGCACCAAGATCCCCCAGAAATGCCACCGGTATCTCGGCGGTGCTGCAAAAAAGGGTAAAAAAGGTAAAAGAGCAAGAAAACGTTGGGGTTTTGGGGTGCGGGGCAGCGCGGAGCACGCTGCAGCCCCCCGAATTCGTGGGGGGGGCGAGTGTGGGTCTGGTCCAACCCAGAAGCCGCGGCCGGTGCCGGGGAGCCGAGCAGGACGAGGGGAGACCGAGCGGGACCGGGAGGAACCGAGGGGGACCGGGGACACCGATCTGGGGACCCCCCGGGACCCCCGGCAGGGCGGGAGGACCCGGCCCCGCCCACCGCGCCTGGGCCACGCCCCCTGGCTGACAGCCGATAGAACCACCCAATGGCCGCCGCGGACGGGCTTTTGGGCCACGCCCCTCTCCCCGCCTCCGCACGCTGATTGGCGGGCGGCGGCGCCGGCCCGCACATGGGCGCTGTGCCGGGAGCCGCAGGTTCGAGGCCGCGCTCGGCGCCGTTTGGGCTCCGCTCGGGTCTCCTGGGCTCGGTCTGGCTCCGCTGCCCGCCCGCCATGGCCCGGCGCAGCGCCCTCTCCATCCGCATCGTGGAGGGCAGGAACCTGCCCGTCAAGGACATGTGAGTGCCCCCCGCGGGGGCAGGGAGGGGTTTGGGTTGGGGGGGCCATCCCCGGCAGGGACCCCCCTCTGCCCCAGGAGTGCTGCGGGGTGTCCCCTCAACACGTCCCTGTTGGGGATGCCATCCACCGGGTGTCTTTGGAGTGTTTCCCTTGCTTTGGGGGCTTGGCCAGAATGGCTTGGTGTCCCCCCAGCAGTGCCTATGCTTTGGGGGTTCCCTCCAGGGTGGTTTTAGGTTCCTCTTTACTTTGGGGGTTCCCTCCAGGGTGGCTTTCATGTCGCCTTTCTTTGGGTGTCCCACCCAGCATGGCTTTGGGGTGTCCCCCCATCAGGATTCTCCATAGGGTCTCTTTGGGATCCCCCTTGCTCTTTTACCGGTTTCCTCCAGGAAGGCTTTGTGGTTGCCTTACTTTGTGAGTTCCCCCAGTGTGGCTTTGGGATCCTCCTTGCTTTGGTGGTTCTGTCCAGGATGTCTTTTTGTGCTCCCAGTAGTTCTTAGTGCTTTGGGGGCTTCTCTCGGGAGTGCTGGGATGTCCCCCGCGGTTCGGGGACACCCCCAGGAGCATCCCATGTTGTGGGGTGCCCTCAGCAATGCTTTAGGGTACCCCAGGCAGTGCTCCAGCTTTGAGGTGCTCCCCCTGTGCTGCCGGGGGGCAGAGCTGCCCCCACCACGCAGGGGCCCCCGCGGGGACCCCCGGAGATGCAGCAGGACCCGGTACATCCGTCCTCCCCCACAGGAGCAGAGGGTGCCCCGGTGCTGTGGTCCCTGTCCCCGCTCTGTTCCCAGCCCCGGCTCCATCCCACCGTCCCACCTGGCTGCGGTCCGGGGGGCTCCTCTGGCAGTCCCTCGGCTCGGGATTTCCCTCCCAGAAAATCCCGGCGTGGTTCTCATCGCTCCGATCCTTATGGGCGGGATGTGGGGACTGAGTTGGGGTGGGACGAAGGGAGAGCACCGGTGTGCCCCGAGCCACCAAGGCAGCGGGAAGCTGTGGAGGAGCGCCCGGCAGCCGGAAAACCAGCAAAAATCCCTTCAGCCGTCATGGAAAAAGAGGATAAACAAGGAAAGAAAGATGACTTTTTTTTTTTTTTTTTCTTTTTTTAAATCCCGTGTGTCAGGGCCTGATTTTTAAATCCCTTGGCACAACTCCCTGCCGGAGCTTGACCCAGCGCGGGCAGGCTCTGGATTTCGGGAGGCTCCTGGTTTGGGGAGAGCGTGCTGTGGGAAGCCGCCGTGCCATAGCGCCTGGAGCGGAGCTTTCCAGACCGGTGGCTTTGGGACGTGGCGCTGGGCCGGGAGGGAAACCCGAGCGCAGCCCTGGCCCCCGCCGCTGACCTTGGCCGTGTCTGGCCCCCTCCCCTCCGGACAGCGGCTCGTGGGATCTGGTTCCCTGCCCTGGCACGGGTTTTGGGATCGCTGGTTTCCTCGTGGGAATTCCCTCTGGGGGGTCAGACCCTGCTTGCGACAGCCGGGGGTGATGAGACACCCCCAGACCCCTGCGGGACCCCCGGCTCCCTCAGGATTCGGCGCAGGGAGTCGCGGGAGCAGGATGTGGCCGCGGCTGCTGTGGTTTGTGGCTCCCGATGCCGCCCTGTCCCAGGGTCCGGACCCCCAGCGCGGGGCTCGGCACTGCCCGGACCGAGCTGCAGCCTGCGGTGGGCTCTGCCCTGTCCCCTCCCCCAGGTGAGCGCTGGGAAATCCTTCCCGCGTCTTCATCCCAGGAGAGGAAGGGAAACGGTCTGCTCGATTTTTTTTTAAATTTTTTTTATTTGATTTTTATTTTGTTTGAATTTTATTTTATTATATGATAATAAATAATTCTAATAATTATTGTAATTATAATAATTATAATCTTTAATTCATTAAATTATTTTATTATTTTTTCACTCTTGCACTTTTTATTTTTATTTCATATTTATTCTTTCATTCATCTCTTTCACTCTTTTATTTTACCTTTTATCTTTTAATTTTCATCCTTTTTTCTTTTATTTTTAACCTTTATTATTCTACGTTTTATTTTATTCTTTTACCATGTTATTTTCCTTTCTTTTTTAAAATTTTTTCATTCTATTTTTATTTACTTTTTAATTTTTTTATCTGTTTTATCGCTACCCCCCCCAGGGCAGAGCTGCACTGCTGACTACACCGGTTAATTTTTAATTCCAGCCCCCCGTGCTGCCCGACCGGTGGCTGCAGGGGCCACACAGGTCCCTTCTCCCTTCCCCCAGTTCATACAGTGCTCATTTCCTCTTTCACAAACCCAGCCTTCCCCTTTCCAGCTCCTTCCCTGCACCCCGCGGGGGTGCCCAAGCCAACTGGATGCTGCGTGGGCGTCAGAGGATTCCCAGCACCCACCGAGCCTGCAGCGCCATAAATCCCTTCCCGAGATCCCGGGACAGGGATGCGGTGCGCGAGATGTCACCGGGCTCCCCGCCTGCCTTGGGAGAGCGGATTTATCCCACGGCAGCTTGGGCACCTCTCGCAGCTGCCAAGGATGGATTCTGGCCATCCTGTGTTTGAATGCCTGGAAAACATGATGCCTGAGTGGTACCCTGGGGTACCTGGCACCCTGTGTCCAGGGGATGTGGCTGTCCTAGACATCCCCGTGGTGACAAGGTTTACCAGCTCTCATCCAAGCCAGCCCCGCGTTGCCGGGCACGGCTGGAGCGGGCAGCTGTTCCCTTTCCGCCTGCCTGCTCCCTGCATCCCTGATGGTTTGCACAAGGCAGGAAATGTCAGCAATGAGCTCCCGTTAATGGCATTTCACCCACTGCTCTCCTTAAAAACCGCTCAGG